TCATGTAAGATTATCCTTCCAATGGGGGGGGGAAGAACCAACTTCCAACTAGGAATTAATATAGAGCTGGTGCTTCCTAGATCGTGTTTGTGAGTTCCAAAGTGGATATGGTCGCATAATTCCTGAGGCTGGAACTGTTTTTCAGTGGCATCATAAACATGTCTCTCTTATTTAATTTTAGCCCATCACTCAGAACAAAGTGACCTATGGAGGAATAACTAGTCCCACACGGGTAGGCACCCTTCTCTCAGAGCCTAGCAAGAGGGGTCTCCCTGATGTACACAGTGTCAAGGCATCACTAAGTAATGTAATCTCAAGTAATCACTAAGCTTGTTCTGAGAGTCATAATGTAAACCCAAAGACAAGAGTGGCATCGAATCGTGAGCATCAGTAGCAAGTAGTGTCCAGCCCTAGAAAAAAGCAAGGCCCTTGTAAACCAAGACGATCGAGATTTCATGCATCCTACAAACACACAAAACCAACATGTCTACTACATGGGCTCACATATTCACCTGAAAAAGTGGGCCCAGATTTGTATCTACATCTGCAGTTCGTATGGGAACTCACTGAATTAACATTTGAGCATTGGTTAGGATGGATACACCCAGTCAGAAAAGCTGTAATTTGAGCTCTTAGTATCCCCAGAGTTCCAGGTTTGTGTGGGTACAACCATGTGCACATGGATAAATGTCATGTTTTCAAGTCAATTCACAGAGCAGGATGCTAACAGACATACTTATTCCTATGTACAATATGTTTGCCACAGTTTTTCTCTGTCAAGATCTCAACACTTACATTGGCTTTCAATTGGGAAAGTCAAGAAAATGACTTTTTGAAGAGAGGAAATATATAGTTAATTTAGCATGAATTAACTTAAAACTCAGAGAGAAAAATGAACCAATATATTTAGCAAAGGTACATGAAGAGAGCACAATCTCTAAAGAAAAATAACCATTTTATTTGAAATATTCTGCCTAATGAGGTGAGAAACATGATTTTGTATGTTTTGACCATTCCCCATATAATGCAAACTTAACATTTATAAAGTATGTTTCATTGTATTGCATTAGATTTGCTTTGGAACTGTACTTTAATTAAATACTTATATCAAATATATTTTAAATTAAAATATAGTGATTTCCCCTTCCCTTTCTTCCCTTAAACCTCTCCGATGTCCCCACCTTCCAACTATTCTTCACATGCTCCCCCCTCAAATGGATGGTCTCTTCTTTGAATTGAATTTTTGCAACAACAAATTCTCCAACACAGCAATTTTAACATAGCAGGTATCAGGAAGTATTCAAGACAGCATCCTTTCCCTGGCACTGGCGATTCCATGTAGCCACCCACATAGGATCAAGGGGATAAGTGCTAGAGTGAATCGGGTTTATGCTCTGATAATCTAGCATGATGAAGTCTTCCCTGGACTTAGACCCCAAAACACTGATTCAATTTTAAACTGAAGCTTCCCACAAGGGAGGATCTGAGCACACACACCCATAGGGATCCCAGGAAATGTATGGCCTGCTTCCCTGAAGACTTAACATTAATAACCAGCGTATAAATATAATCCCACAATGCACATGTTTTGTCTTATCTGGAAGAACAAGAAAGAATATGAAGTTAGTATTTGGAGCAAACTGAAGAAAGAAGTATTTTCCTTTCTCCCCTGAGTATGTAGTGTGCTAGCATTACATCATTTACAGGCAGGGACAGGGAAAGTCCTATCATAGATAGCTTGAGCAAAATTGTTCTTTTCAGCCCTCCAGTAGCCTAACACGAGCTGTCATCTTCATTTCCAATAGAAGATAAGGACCTTCAAATACAATCTGGATGCTGAATAAATTCTCAGCTTAAACCTATGCTTCGGACACCCACAAAGCTGTCCTCCATTGTAACACCCAAGCTAGCAGGTGGAACATAAAGGAAGTGCTAAGTTGGTGAAAAAAAAGCAGCGGCACCCGGTCCTAACTAGACCACAGCAGAACCATTAGTTGGGACCAGTGGTGATAAGACGCATCATCCTTGCAAGGAAAGCCAGACTAAGAGGATGCTGAGCTTCCTTCTCTCAACCACATTTCATCTTTCTGGCTCAGTCTAGTTGAGGAGCTACTTTCTTCTGATAGACAATCTATGACAGAGTTCCATATACTCAAGGGCACAGCAACATCCCTAGTGGCAGTCTCAACAGAACTCTATGGGCAATGGACAAGCCCACAGAATACTCTATGTACAAAACATGCCTTCTCCAAAAGAGCTTGACTACTCATGATGTACTTTAAACAACTGAAGACAGGGTAGAATGTGTGTGCTCACACACACACACACACACACACACACACACACACACACACACCCTTCATTCTGTCCTTCAGGTGTATTTTAATCTAGTCCTGGTTTTATATTTTTGGTTGTGAGCCTAGCCTTTAACGGCTGTGACATCTCTCCAGCCATCTAGTCCTTATTTTAAAAAGCAGAAACTGCACTGGAATAATTATAACGGTGGTAAACAGTAATTGAAAGGGTTTAATAAAATCCCATTTCATTAGCTTGGGGCAGAAACTATCTGCCTTTCAGTGTCTTGGTGTCTCTGAGATCCACCATGGTTAGGCACGATGTATATGTTATAAACTTTGGCACATGAATGCATTTCAATACTCAGGATAAGTGATATGCTCTATGTATATAGTAATCCCTCATTATTCTTGGGGTTCTGGTTCTAAGATCCCCCCTCAGACATCCAGAGCCCCACAGGTGCTCAAGTACCATATTTCCAATGTCATCATCTGCACTGTAACATACACATATCCTATAAAACATTTCCAGATTGCTACTATAACCTGAAATGAAATGCAAATGAAGTACAGATAGCTGTGATACTATTTCATGTGAGTAAAGACAAGAGAAACGTCTGTACTTGTTCAGTACGGATGTCATTTTGAAGGGTTTTTTTAGTTGTAGCTGGTTGGGTCTGTGGAATTGAAGTGCATGGGCACAGCCAGTCAACTCTACAGTGTATGTGACTAAATCTGATCCTTTTTCCGTGATGTGTTGAAGGAAATATGCCATCCATGTAAGCAGTAGAGCTTGCCACAATCTCATAGTCCATGTATCCTTGGGCATAGGGCTTCAATAAATCAGGGAGGAGAGGACAGCACTGGTGTCCATCTGCCTGGCAACTTGTAGTACCAAGGAACATTGTTGCAGTCTTGACACCCTGGTGCTGGCTCTTCTCCGAGGTTTGCCCAGCAGAGAGGACTCACCCACACTGAGCCAGTGGAGGAGAGGCCCCTGGCAAGGCTCCCTTCCTGTCCAGAAGTACACTTTACTGGACAACCTGTTTCCATTCATTTGTTTTAATCTTTCTTCTGATCAGGCCGGCAGCCCATTAATCATTTCTGTCATCCCCTTACCGAATCCAGGGCAGCAGATCTGTTTTTCTAAAGTCTCAGAGCCAGAAATCAACTACAAAAAAAGGAGGGGGGATCCTCTACCCCTCACGCGGCTGGCCAGAGTACTGGCTGGAAGCAGTCACCAATTGTGTTCACTTTCCTCTGAGGCACACAGTTGTTCACAACAGCCCATGGAAAGTTTGGAAAGGGAATCTGGGCAGGAAGTGGACCTGGGGGTGCAAGAGGAGCCTAAGATATGAAGCCATCAGCTGGGGAGGCTGTAAGAGATGGAGGTGGCTAAAAAAAATGCCAGGACAATGACAGAGACGTAGATGCTCTGAAACGATGCAAAAATAAAAATAAACCAATCAAAATGCTGCCCAGTGGCAAAGAAAAAGTCTCTTATGGAACTGACGTAATTGGTTTGGTAAAAAAAAATGTTGACATTACTTTGAGGTCACAATAAAGCACTAATATCTTATGTTCATATATAAAGACACACACATGTATGTAACAGTTTGTTTATATTTTATTTCTGTATCAGCTTGATCTCATCATTATATTTATGTGATATATACATATTCTAAATTAAGGCTGAGGCTACAAGGCAGAAGAAAACATGGAGGATGTACTGGCAACAGAAAACAGAATCCAACTTGCCTTGGGTTATGACATATATAGTCTAACAGTTGCAATCTCTTAACTATACAGAAACCATATAGAAATTCACCATTAATACCTGGTATAAATGACATATAAGGCGGTAGGAATCCAGGTATCTCCTCCATAGCTGACACTGTCAATCTGATGAAGAACCAGTGCCTTTACAATTGAGAGAGAATGCCCAGAGAAGTCAGTCGAGGCTGTGGTGCCAAATGTGATGTTCTTCAAAGACCCATGGACTCTCAGTAACAGTCTCGGGAGGCGTGACAACTTCTTAAAACTCTCTAACTCTATGATATTATACTCCTGAGAACGGGCCAATGTTCTGAGAAAAATTGGTGTATCTCATATATGTGAGTCAGTATTGCGTCCCGTTTTAATGTACAGCAATGAATTACATGCAAAGCTTGATGGGGACACATTTTCAATACTGAATTTTGTGAATGATTTACTAAAAAACTAAAGGAGAACCAGTTAGTTATAATTTAGTCACACTACTTACTAGCTGCCACTTTGTTTTTTTGAGACAGGGTTTCTCTGTATTGCTTTGGAGGTTGTCCTGGAATTCGCTCTATAGACTAGGTAGGCCTCAACCTCACAGAGATCTGCCTGCCTCTGTCTCCCTAGTGCTGGGATTAAAGGCATGCACCACCAACACCTGGCTCAGCTGCCACTTTTTATAGAGCATGTAAAGACTATATCAGTACACTGCAATAACATCACAGAAACATAGAGAACCATCACAGAAACATGGTTCTTTGAAGCTGAGTGAGCAATGATGCATGAACAGTATTTGAATAATTTAAAGAATTTTTATGGGTAACGTTTACCCAGGTACAGTCTCATAAAGACTAATTCCCTGTGTGATAATATATTTTAGAGAGGTGAATGGATACAAATAAACAGCAAACAATGTGAACATTATGGAGGAAAAAAAAACCTTACCACAAATGCTATTGAACTTCTCAATGTGGACTCCCACTGGAAGCAGCTTTTGAAGAACTGTATTGTATTCCATACTGCCATAGTGAGTCTCTTCACCCTGTCTGCATCTCTTGATAAGATCTGTGTTTTCAAAGATGGAAAACAGAGAAGTAGATTAGATTTACAATCCCTGGATGTTTCCTTGTATCAGCTGCCCTGGCTGTTGAAAATTGTGTTATGTACAGGGCCAATTAAAAAAGTACAAAGTTTTGCTTCTAAAACTATTTCAAAATATCGTCATCCACAGGCAACAAGAATTTCCTGCCTATGTTACGGCTCATTGTCTGAAAAAAAAAACAGCTTGTTTTAATAGTGTTCAGTCCAAGACTGAGCTGACAACACATACACAGAGAGAGAGAGAGAGAGAGAGAGAGAGAGAGAGAGAGAGAGAGAGAGAGAGAGAGAGAGAGAGAGAGAGAGAGAGAGAGAGAGAGAGAGAGAGAGAGAGAGAGAGAGGCATTTGGGGTACACGAGTCCCGTGTGCATGCATGTGCACGGTGTGGCAAGGAGAGACAGAGCAAGAACGAGCAATCCTGAGACAGAGTATGCTCAGAGAATGGGAATGAGTGTCAAGATGTTATTCAGTACGGTGGCAACTGGAGAGAATAGCATTAGGAGAGCCACAGAATTGCAGATGAGCTGGACCAAAGGGTGTAAGTAAGGAAACACAGTCGCCCCTTTCCCAGCTGCACGGTGGTCAGCAGGTTCCTCAAGCCTTGCTGCCCAAAAGGATTGGCATGGTTTTCAACCTTACAGGTGGTTGTGAGAATTAGTGACTCGGTTTTACGTATTCGTTTCATCAGTAAAATCTCAATTTATGACCATCTGAGGTAACCCAGAAGTGTGTGGTACTTGAAGAGGGTCGTGACCCACCCAGGGAATCTTGCCCTAGATTCTCCCTCTACTCTCAAGCCAAAGCCACCCCAGGGGCCAAGTTGTTTTGTAAAGGAAATCTCTTTTCTCCCAGCGGGAGGCACAGTATTTTGATTTGCTTGCAAAGCTGTCACCCTGCCTATGTCCACTTTGGTTTTAACTTTCAAGTAAACAGAGCGAAAGACAAAGAAAACTAATAATAAAAATGAAGACTTTTACTCGGATTACACACAATGACTATGGCTCCATGCTACCAAAAGAAAACAAAACACTCCGTTACTTCCCTCCAGAAGATGGTTAAATCCTTTCCCCAGTGTGGGGGCCCAGAAGTTCATGGGAAACAAAAGGAAGATAAGATTGCTTTGTATTTAACTGCTTTGTGTCATGCACAGCTGCTCACCCCAGAGGAAGCTGTGGAAGTAATAAACACTTTTAAAGGGGGGACACTTTGTTCTTTGTTACACAACTGAAGAAGAACAATGGGTCCTGACTGAAATCCTGGACTATCTAAAGAGGACAGGGAGGGACACAGAAGAAAGAAATGCAAAGGTCATGGTTTTTCTTTTGGAATATGAAGCTCCTCCCTCCTCATCCTAGATCTTTACCTTTGGTTGAACTGATAAGAATTCAGGGTGATGGGCAAACAGAAAGACGGCTGATTCAATATGGGGTAAAGCACCTACACGCCCTAAATTTAGACACAGGTTGCAAATAGGTGAATCGGAGGCTAGAAGCTTCCTCAGTACCTTAGGAAATTCCTCCATCCACTGAACAAACAGAAGAGAGCCCTTGTGTTCAGCTGGGAAAGGAGAAACCAAAATGAAGCGAGTGAAGAGGGCAGACAAAGAAATTTACGTTGTCTGTGATCCATGCTCACTTTTAGAGATCCGCCTGGCACACCGCAGGGCGCACGCCCCCATCTTTCCTCACCTGGAAGCTTTAAGTCCCTCCTCATTGACCTGGCCGAAGCCCCATTTTAGAAAGAGAAGACAAGAGAGAGGAGTAAAAAGAGGAGGAGCCCAGAGGAAAAATGAATGGGAGAGGAATAGTGTGGAAGACAGCCCAGCCACGACCACAAACCCTTGGATCCTGGGCGCTGAATGTACTCAGAGGCCAGTTGTTGAGCGCCCCCTACCTTTTTGGACAGCTTGCGACTATCTTCCACAAAGCGCTTCTCTTTTGGAGCGAAGGTCCTGATACTTGCTTTGACCTAGAAAAACATGGCTGTTATATGGATATTTTCCTCCTGAGTGGCTGAGAAGATCACAGAAAATGAGACCTTTTATCTCACAGGCCATGGGTAGATACCAGAAAGTAGTGGATCCAGTCATGCCTGGCCACTTTCCAGGGTCTCAGAGTCATAAAGTCCCTGGGTAAATCAGGCTGGACCTAGGACAGTTTTGTCATCAGTTGGATAAACCCACAGAAGTATTTCAAACCAGGACAGACACCAAGCTTCATAAATTTTCATGCTAATCTAAATGACAAAAAATTCTTCTCTCATTTTGAACTGAACTTTTGTCAAATGCACCTAAAACAGGAATGACAGTTCTCAGTCCATGAAAACAACATTTTCACAGACAATCTCATTACCTCCAGTGACCTGAAAAAGCAAGTAAATGGGCCATGTTAGCTCGTTTACAGAGGGAAAACTGAGCCCCAGGGGGATTTACTGACTTGTTCAAACCATCCATGTGAGGGAAAGCTTCAAACCCTGAAAGGCAAATCTACCTCCACTGTATCTCTTAACCAACACATTTCCACCTGTGACTGCACCCATGTCTTGGCTGAATAACATAATCTCCATATAATCCATACACAAGTGCTTCCCAGAAGAAAGTAGCAGATTGGGTCACCTCTCCAGCAAACTAGACAGATGGTGTATTTGAGTGGAAAAGGAAGGGACGGTGGAGAACACAGTTATATTGATTACTATCTCCCGATTTCAGCATTACTGAGGAGACTACAGAGATATAATATCTATGATACTCATTGTTTTAGAGATCACACAGCTTGCATATCATAGATTAAAAAGATATGCTATATATTATATGTAGCTTATATATAAAACAGTAATTTTATGTTTATAGAATGGAATATCTGTATGTATAATGCATCATATATCTATGTAATCAGTAGATGATATGTAGATATACAAAGTACATACACATATATATACAAAGACTACCTTTTCCTTTATTTTTAATTTTTTCCTTGACATGTAGATTATGGAGAATTTAAACCTCATCAATCCTGCTAACTCAACTATTTGAAACCTGAAACAGTCAACATGGATTTTATGACTGAGGTATAAACACAACACCATTTGTTCTCCAGCTTCAATTCTGAAATATGTGACATTAAACTAAGACCACATAGGCTGAACACCATCCTGGGGATACTTACTGGATTATATATGAGGTCCATCTCTAAGTAAAGAAGTCCTTTAAAAGCTTGTTCCAAATCTTTATTCTTCAACACATAACAATTTGGTTGTCCATCTCTAATCTGTTAGAAATAAAAGACAAAGTACATATTGGTGCCAATGTTTTGTGGGTTTTAAATTGAAAAGCCAAAACTAACTTTGACTAAGTTGAAAATATATTTAATTTTTTTGCCTCTGTAAAAATGTGCTCTACAACTCATTTTTTTTATCCACTAGCATGACTTGGTAATTTAGTTACAGTTTTTATGTTGATCTCATTTTTACCACTATATGATTATATATGAAACAAATATTAGACAGGTACTAAATGAAAGATAAATCAACTTTTAATTCTAGAGTGGCATTGTAATTGATAGGAAGATAAAGTAGCAACCATTGGCTCAAAGTGGGGTGTTGACACAAACCTAGTGGTGCAGATTATGACATGGTGACAGGAAGTTTCTTGCTCCCAAATTCTGAAGACCACATTTTTCTCAAACTCAAATATGATGAACACTCTCCAAAATTTCTGGCCAATATTACTAAAAATTATCAAGATTATGGAGAAAAAGTGACAGAGTAGGAAACTGTTATGAATCAGAAAATACTAAGGTTATATGATGGTTAAAAGTATGTAATACAATGTACTGGACACTACATTAATGAAAAAAAAGCAGATAAAATCCACTTGAAGATATAAGAATCTAACAATGGATGAAAATGGTCCTCTTTTCTTAGCAGTTTTACTTTAACTATTAAACCATTCCCCCAAAATATTAAAGAATCATAAGGAAATGAGTAAAGGAACTAATTTTAATTATGAAGCTGTCAGTGATTCAATGGTCACTCCAAAATTCATATCCATTAAACCAAAACCTAAGTGAATTTGAAGTCAAGATCCCAAATCATTCAAGATGCACAAAATGCCTACACATCCCTATCTTTGACAGTAACAAGTCCCTCTGACTTCCATCCAGCATGTCACAGCATTTCCCCTCTCTATGCTACCTGCCTGAAGTTCTCAGAAAAAGGACATCTCAACAAACATGGCCTACCATGGCATTTCAGAAAGTCTTTGGCTCCCTGAAAATCATGCTAACTATAGAATTCTTTGTTCTCTCTTCAGACTGAGAGTATCCGTGCTTTTCCGAGGATGCTGGAAACCTCTGGTATTTAGGAAACTTACTCCACTCTGTAGGGCCTCAGCACAACCTGGGTTTATCAAGCATTCGATTTGTGACTGCAATGCTTGATAATTCAAATAACTTGGAAAACTGGAAGGCCAGGAATTTGAGCCATATTTTAAATGACTATTGCTGTCACTACAGTCATTCACACAAGTGTTCTTATAAACCCTGGTGGAAATGAGTTGACTAAGTCACGGCGGGGAAACAGCAATTCTACTTTACAAGGGAGAGGTCATCTTCCTTCCCAAAGCACCCCGCCTCTCAGATTGAAGAGCTTTCATGCAGAAAGATGGCTTTCCTGGTCAGTGGCCGAGAGGAAGGGGGTGCCCCATAAAGTCCCGGCTTCCTTCCTCAACGGTGTCCAAACAGGATTTGCAGCTTCCGCTCTGGCGTTCAGTCTCACTTAATAAATTGTCGGTGTTAAAGTTGAAAGACATAAATACAAAAACAGCATGTCAATTTGCCAAGCTGAAGCGCTTCCAACTTCGTTTTGTTTCAGTCCTCAGTTCTTGTAATGGTATCTTAAATTTTCCATGATTCTTAAGGGCGAGGGAAGGTCAGTAGGAGAACAAATAGTATCCATATAAAAGTATTTCATAGAAGAGGGAGGTTTTCCTTTTTTTTTAATTCCGTAAATGATCATTTCCTGTTACTCAATGTCCTTAGCATTGTGTCAGCAAAACTCAGAATCCACATAGGAACACCAAAGGTATCATCAAAGCCAGAGATACAATGAAATATAGTCATGTTTACTACTTTAATAGCAAATTAAGTTAGAACATAAAAATTTCAAAAGTTTGAAGATTAAAAAAAACACCCTAATTCCTTTCAATGATACAAAAAAGTCACAATTCTCTACCTAGATCAGAAATTAGGTAGGAATTTGGCACATATCTCTCCTCATTTTTTTCATTGAAACTTTATATTCACAAAAAAGCCTTAAATGAAGTATTCAAATTTTTATTGTTTAAAACTACATGAAGTCGATAACTTTATTTTCTAGCTACCAATATGATTTGGTGATATTATTTTACATTTGTCTTTTTTACTGTTATGTAATATTCAAAATGAAAATCAACTACAATGTTTTGATCATGTGGTATCACAGTAAATACCGACACTAAACAGAAGAGAACATTCTGGACAATATTTTCCAGTTCTACTATATAACTAAACTGTCAATACTTATACACAGGATAAAATCTCAGCCTGAAATGCTATTTGCAGCTGCAGCTGCCCAACTCCCACACTATCATGTGTTAAATGTCCATTTTACATTTGGTATTCTCATGATTCATAGTCCTTATAGGAAGAATTCAAAAGATTATTTCTAATATTAAAATTTTAACAATTCTGTTCAATTAGAAAATTCAAATACAGTCAAAAGAACATTTACAGGTGAGAATCTGTGTGGATTTTTGTCTCTAGTTGTGAGATGGCTGAACCCTAATAGAGACCCTCGTCAACCCAGTCAGAAAGAAGCAACAGTTTCAGGACAGAAGATGGTGGGTACCATGCTGATTTGAAGAGTCTTCCATGTTAGCCTCTTGGAGGACTGAGTTTCCACCAAACTAAGGTTCTTAGATAAAGATACCAGATACTATATTGAACTTCAGTTCTGTATGATAACATCTTGAAATGGATTCATTACATAATTTTTGAGCTCAACATCATATGCAACAAAGACAGTATTAGATCATAATTTAAAGCATCTTCTCAGGGCAGTATAACAAATACATAATATACACTGCTTAATTGGGAATAGTGCCTCCATAACTATGAATAGCACCTTTCATAATAATTATTAGCTTAAAGCAGTACTTACCAAAACTAGAAAACAATCCTTTCATAATTAGAAATAGCACCTTTCATATATAAGGAGGGACTTCCATAATTGACAACAGTAACTTCCATGATTTAAAAATGGCCTTTTGTATCTCTATCTTAGATTATTTTTCAGTTCGGTGTGAGATAGAAATCATCTGTCTGGAGTATGGTAAAAGGTAACTCTTTGGTAATTTCCCAAATATTTTTTTAAAGTACCAGGAAGTCTGTAACTAAATAATAATTTGAGATTTGGGATCAAAGGAAAAAATACTGAGACTAGCCTGTACCTGCAGTGAAGGCATGGAGGATATTCAGGGCATCCCTTTGCCTCTGAATTGTGGCCATACACAGACTCTGAGAGAGGAGAAGTCACTGCCTTAGTTGTGTACCCTCTGCTGAGGCCACGAGGTTCAAGCAATAGTTCCAATGCCATAGTCACCCAGATGGGGCTAGTTAATCTTGGTGGGCCACAACCAAAAGGAACAGAAATGAATATGAGAGATAGATTTGTGCAGGGAGACTTTTTATATGTGTGAAAAGCATATATATATATATATATATATATATATATATATATGGGTGTGTGTGTGTGTGTGCAAAACTGCAAATTAAACTTTAAAATTATCATGTTAAAAATTAAAATTCGAATGTAAACCATAATAATCCTTAAACTAACATTTTTCTACATAAAAGAGCATTATCTCTGCTTATTCTTAAACACCATAAGTATGACAGGATTTTTAAAAGCTGGTTAATAAAAAATAAAAAAAGGAATACTCTATTCATTATTTTTAAAAACATAAACTGAATGTAACATACTGTAGCACATGAGGACACACAGAAAAATTTCCTACTTGCACGTTTTTCCCAAACAAGAATTATCTTCATTGTGATTCACCATAAAACTCTTTGATGTAATATGTAACTAAAGTGAATCAGGATCAATATGAAGGAATGAAACCACGGGAGGGCTTAAGGAGGGAAGCCATGCATTTAAGATCAAAAATCCCAAGTAAAAAGTCGTATTGATCCCATCACTGTTTGACCTTCAAACTAGAAAAGGCAGAACATTTGGATATAGACTAGCTTCCTGTATCAAATAAGATCCTCCACTCCATATGACCAAAAAATTAAAAAAAAAAGAGAGTATAGCTACAGCATTGTACAGCAGCTGAGCCCATCTAAGGCACAAGCTAAATAACTCACCAATAAAATGTAACAAGGAAAGACACATGACTTGGCAAGAGGACAGTTAATGCACTATCTAACAGCATTTCACATTCTTCAAGCAGCTTAGCATCAGGCAACGGTTCAATGTTGTGAGTTACAAGCACCAGGAGAGGTTGAGATTCCCAGGATGCTCTGCTTGGCCCTGCATAGAGACCAGACACCAGGGAGCTGAAGAAGCCCAGAACGCCTCGTTGGCCCTTGCCACCACATCTTCTCCTCTCCAAGGCAGTCAAATTTTGTACCAGAAGCAAGCTGAGAACTGAACTTAAGAAATGACAGGAAGCTTGGTATACTTAGGTCTTCTCACAGCCACTGTTGCTAAAATATGAGCTATTTCCTCACAAATTTTACAGAGAACTCTAAAAGTTATGAGAAAATTTACCCACAAAAATTACAAGAAACATACATCATAAATAACTTTGGACAGTCGGGCAGTGTTGGCACAGGCCTTTAATCCCAGCACTTGGGAGGCAGAGGTAGACAGACCTCTCTGAGTTCAAGATCAGCCTGATCTACAGAGTGAGTTCCAAGACAGCCTCCAAAACAACACAGAGAAAGCCTGTCTCGAAAAACAAACAAACAAACAAAATAGAATAGTCCATACATCTCAACGAATTTCTAAACAGAATATCCATTTTGAGCTTTACCTTGGATTTTACACTTTACTATCAAATGTATTTTTATGCACCCTGGGCCTGAATAATTTTGGTGTGCTATCTTTCTTATTTATGATGTCTTTATAATAAACTTTTGATTAAAAAATTAAAAGAGGATAGGCAATATCTGAGGTAGACCCTAGAGGCAAATAAACTGAATTCACAATTCTGACGTAGCTCCTC